CAGAAAAATATACACTAAACAAATCAGAAGAGACCTTCCAGAAAGTGGTCGCTTTTCTGTTCAGAGAGTTGCTGCTATTCTTTTTGTAGATCTCCTGTTGATTTCGTAGGTGTTCAGAATGGTTTGATACCCATCTAGCCCAATTCCTGGGACGAGAGGAAATTTAGGTCTCCTACTCCTCCACCATCTTGCCTTCAACCTCTGTGCTTTCCATTTCAACCTACTGCATGTACTGATCTCTGGGAGCTCCAGAGGGCAAGCCAACCGAGGAGCCCGAGGCAGGGAAGGGGCGGCCCAGGCCTGTGACTGCCACAGCTCTCACCTCTCCAGGAGGAAGCGCTTGTGTGAGGAGAGCCCTCCTGCTTCGAGTGCAGCCGGGAGACCAAGCTATAGCCATACCCACCGCTCTTCCCGTGAGATCCCAGCCACAGCAAGGGGCAGCCAAGGCCCAAATTAGTCTTCCTAAGATATTGCTGTTAACGTGACACATTCCTCCAAAAATCCTGCAGTACTTATCTATTTGTTATATCCTCAAGCTTCTTCATCTTTCAGAGCCCTCATGATCTGCTTCCTACCCACCTATTCAATACTGTTTCCCTCTAATTCCCAGGATAGGTGCTCAGCTCAGTAAGACTAGTCTGTTCATTCTCTTTTTCACACCTATTGAGTGTAAGTTCTATAAGAACATCTATCTTTGTTTTGTTCATTAATGTATCCCACTCACAATGTGTGGTACCTAGTAAGTGCTCAATAATGATTTATGTTCATTCACACTTCAGAACTCTTAGAGTTATCCACTCACACACCACTCTTCTTTCTCTTTTCTACTTATCTAAACCCTACTGATTTCTTCTAACCAAGTCCTACTTGCTCCACCTATATTTTGCTAACTATTTCTGCCCATATTACATTTCTAACTTTGTCTGAATTCCCATACTATGTACCTGTGACTCCATACATGGAATCCTATAGTTAGGAGCCCCAAACTCCAGAGCCAGACTGACCCAATTTGAATCCTATCTCTGTTACTTATGATTATATATTATATAAGTTATTTTACCTCTCTGTGCCCCAGTTTCCTCATCTATAAAGTGAGCAAAATAATAAAACCTATCTCATAGTATTGTTGCATGACCTAAATGAGTTCACGTATATCAAATGTTTATCACAGTGACTAGAACAGAGTAAGCATTATATAAACGTTTTCTGTTATTGTATAGTTTTACCACTTCATTTATGTTAGTCTTGACTTTACAACCAGATTGCAGGTTCTTTGAGGTAGAAAGGATATTTTATCTCTCTCAAGATGGCAAGAACAGACTAGTTAAATATCTGTTAATTGATTCATTCAAAATTAGACTATAACAAGACTACCATGAAATTCAAGCTGCTTCATTGGGATTCAATACAACAACTTTTTATATAAAGATCTATAGTCTACCAAATATTTTTGTACCTGTTATGCCAATTGCTCCTTACAGTAAATTTGTAAGGTAAATAAGGCAAGTGTCATTATTCTCACTATACACCCTAGGAACTTAAGGTCAAAGAAGGTATCTACCACCCCTTCTGTCAGCACTGCTATGTCTCCCTGCTTCTTCCTGCTTAGAGAGGCCAGATTAATGTCTTCTGTGTAAGCAGATATTCTTCTACAACAGAATATCAGCCACCCCTTCTTGGAGGTATGCCCAAATCTCTGCAAATGATTGTCATTGGCACTCACCCTCATTTGCCTTGTGAGGGGTGGTTTAAGTGTCCAGAAATGCCCACTCCTCTACCCTGTGGGATGTGAAGGGAGTTACATCTGATCCTGAACACTGTGCTCTCCACAAAGTTGACACCCCCCCCAACTTATATAGACTGGGAGGAAAGGTGTTGCTGGGGTGATTGAATTAGTAAAGTCACTTCTCTTCCTTTTCAGTTAGCCCTAGGGAAGGTGGTGTTGGCCTTTGTTGATGGCTTCTGTTATTTGATAGCATATCAATATATCTCTTTGTTTCAACATAGGGACAACATCACTCTTCATTCTTTTATACATTCATGTAATTATTTATCAAACATCTTAGCACCTTTGCTGGGCAGGGCCCTATTATTTTTGCTATGGGAAATAGAAAGAAATACAAGAAATTCAAGCTTTTGAGGTACCTGGCTCTGTGTTGTCATCAGCCTGTTTACATTGATCCAGTCTCTCTCCTAGAAATATTATATGTCACTTGAAAAAATCTTTGAGTAGCTATTTGCTTTTACAAGTTGTCCTTGAGAAAAAGTATATTTTTATTGTGTTGAAGTATACATTATTAAATACATGGTTAGCCTGTGATGTTCCTTGCATCATAAATATGCTTACTTTTGCCCTTCATACTTTCTGATTCATATTTCCACCTTTCTTTCAGAAGAGTATTTTAGTATTCCAGTTACTATTCCAATTCTAATTATTCAGTGAGATTTATTAGTCTTTTTAAAAAAATTGTTTTTGCTCAACATTCAGATTGATCTCTCTCTATAGATGAATGCAATGTATGTCACTTTCTGTGCTTATTTTAAGTTCTTGAATTATAAAGTAGATATTTAATAAACAATACTTTGCTCTCAAAACTTTCAAGAAACTATCAAACCTATCAGGTATCTTCTGAAAGCAGCACTACTGGCCTCATTTATTACCCAATGCTATGAATAGCTTTTGGAATCCCTAATTTCCAAGTGTAGAGTAAGTTTTGCAAACCTGTGTCCTAAATAATACATCCTTGCCCTAGTGATTGACGTGGCATCCTATTCTTTCAGCAAATACTTATGTGTGTTTGAGTCTGTTTCTGTTACCCCATTATGTCCTGTTAATCTTTTGGTCTATTCTGGTGCAGTACCATACTGTTAATATTATACAGTTTTAATATATAACAATGTATTATTTTTCAATATTTTCTTGACATTCACACCTATTTGGTCTGTCAAATGAATTTTACAATTTACATTTCAAAATTGAAAAAAAGATCCTTTTTAAGAGTCTGATGAAATTGTTTTATATTAATACATTGCTCCAAAGAAAAATGAAGTTCTTGTAATAGTGACTATTTCTTTCTAGATAACATCTTATATCTCTGTTTTTTCAAATGCCCTTCGTGAAAATGTTTCATTTTCTTTAAATGTGATCTACTTACTTCTAAACATATTATTTTGGAGAGATGTTCTGATATTGCGAATGAAAGCTTTTGCTCATTGTATTTTCTGACTGGCTTCTGCTGCCATAGAAAAACTAATGATTTTGTGGTATGGATATTGTAACTAAAGCCTTACCAAATTCTTACCAATTTTATTGTATTTTCCTTTAATTATTCCAGATTTCTAAGAATACTGTTGTATCACCTAAAAATAAAAATAATTTATTTCTTCTCTTCCAATATTTATACCCCTTATTTATTTTTTTTATTGTCTCAGAAGCAACTTCTATTAACAGTAACAAATAGTAATGCTGATAGCTATATTTTTGCATTTTCATTTTAATAAAAGTCTACCTCTGTGGTTCATCATTAAGTAGAATGTCAAATATTTGAAATAAAGAACATTTTTCATCATCTAATTAACTTTTCTGATACACATTTACCATCAGTTTTTCTTTTTCTAAAATTGAGAACAAGTGCTGTTTTATCACATATGGCTTTATGTCAATTGTAGTGTTGTTACATACTTTGTGTCCTTTGCCTAATGAAAGGTGATGAATTATTTAAAAAATTGTCCTAATATTGAGCCACGCTTCCTGGAACATGCCCCTACTTGGTTATAGTATGTCATTCTTTCAAATTGGTACTGCATCAGTTTTCTAGTTTTGAGATTAAAAAAAAATCTTTAGTCATAAAAAATATTATGTGTGTGTGTGTTTAGTGCTATCTTTGTCAGATTTAAGTATTAGGTTAAGGCAGCTTAATAAAAATGTCCTGGGGCACTTTGATGTTTTCTTTGCCTTGGAATGGTTATTATATCATATAGATTCCCTTTTAAAGTGAGATAGAATTATTTGGGGGAAAAATGTGTTTGGTACCTTTTCCCCACTTTATAGACAAAGGACTTGGACAGAGAAGTTAAATATCACACCCAAAGACACATACTAATAAGTGGGGTGGCCAAGATTTGAATCCAGGTAATCTAACTCCAAGGTCTATGGTCTCCTGCCTCTAGACAGGGTTTAATTCATAAAGGGCTTTACATGCTATACTAAGGAATGCTGAGTTCATTCCATCAATGTCTGGAAGCCATTGAGATTATTTTAATTATAAAAGTGACATGATCAGATTTTTATTTTTAACTCAAATAGCATTTGGAAGATGAATTAGAAGGAATGACTAGGTGACAGGGAAGTAGAGAAAAGGGGAATAGAGAGAGAGAGGCAAACAGCTTCTAGAGTCCATGTAAGATATGATGAATCCTTGAGACAGGGCAATGGATCAACATATTCAAGAGGTATTTTGGTGGAACTTGGGGATACGTTAGATTGGAATGAGGAATAAGGAAGAACAAAGTATCTGTGCTTATTTCCATATTTCTGTCTTTTTAACCAGGTTAAAGTTAGTGCCAGAATCCATGACAGGAAATATGGAAGGAATGTTCTAGATACCAGCCCTGTATGCTCACACTTAAAATGCCTTTATAGTTATTTAAGAGCCCTTACATATAAAACATAAGTGTATACAGTTATACCCTTATGGTTGCTGGTTACATACTCAACATAAGGGTATACAGACATAAGCTCATTAAAGTCTACCATTTCAGATTCTCAGGTATCACGACCAAGTCATTAATGTACTTTATGTACATTATACTTTACTGTACTTTATGTACTTTACGATACTTTAATGTGCACAGCAAAATGCCTGTCTTGTTACCAGGTTTAGATTTTTCCTTGCCTAGTTAGGATTATAACTAATATATCCAGATAGTCATTTCAGAGAGCCCACTCTACTGAAGGATGATTTCTTTTTCAGTGACACTGCTAAGTAAATTCTGACTCCATCCACATTCAGAAGTGATCATGGTTTCTCTGTGTCCTGGTCATTGATAGTGCAGGGAGAGGAGTTGCTGAAAGCACTTCCCAGTGTTTGGAGGGTCCATTCCTGTGCCTTCCAAACTCTGGAGCTTTCCCACACTTCCTCCTCTCTACCACCTTTTAGGTGTTGTCTTATTGCATTCTCTCTTTGCCTGGCTCAGTGTGGTTTCTATGAGGCTTTAAAAAGGGAGAACAAGAGTGGGTCCTGCCTCAGTGCATGTCTGAGTTGGTTGTGGAACACAACTGTGGTCCTCTGACACTGATCTCTTAATTTCAGCAGCCCTATGTCCTTTTTTGCCCCTGCATTTGAGGTGATTACAGGCTGCCTATGCTCTGGTCTGCAGGCGAAGGAAAAGTTACAAGGTTTTCTTTATGTTCAGAGGTTTCAAAATGGGACAGCTTTGGGTGACTGAGCACAAGGTAGATGGAGGGAGGCAGGCTTTCAGTGCATTCACCTCCTAAGACCAGGATTTTCCCAGTGTTTAACTCTTGTGACTATAACAGTTTCTTGGGCATGTAAGCAGTGCCAAGTGCTTCTTGTCCCCTGCAGGAGTATCTCATGACTGCTATTCCATGTATGTGAGAGGTAACCTCAGGAAGAACCTGGATCAGGAGGTCCCAGGTGGGTCTGCATGTGCAGAGGTTCCATGAGAGGTATCATCTTATCAGCCAGGCATTAGGCCATGGGGCCCCAAGGTCAGTCTTAGATCCAGAGGCTATTGAAGTAAGAGCCAAGGCCATGAGTCAGTGACCCTTGGGTTTGCTGATGTTTCTCCCCAGGATTCTCTTGGTGGTATTTGTGAACACCAGAGGGGCAGAGAATGGAGAAGGAATCCCCACGTGAAGCATCCCCAGAGTTCCTCCTGCTCTCCACTCAGAGCTTCATGGATCAACTCTTCACATAGGAGATCAGAGGGCAGGCACTGAGGCTGGGGCCAGGGTCCACTTCAGCTGGCTGACAACAGTATCCTGAGAGGCCATGGACAGGGAAGGCCAGCCCCGTGTCCCTCTGCTATGCCTGGGATGACTTTAATGACCAAGATTTTTTCTCTTGAATTGCAGCTTCTCATCACTTTCCTCTCTACCCACCCATTCAGTAAACCTTAAAGACTTGCAAACAAAACAAAACAACAACAACAAAAACTCTGACTCTAGGTTGGCTATAAAATATGAATATTTTTAAAAGGAGTAGCTCCCAGACATATTGGCTTGTGAAATTTGGATGTCTAGGCTTAATATGCATTGTATATATAGGTTCTTGGGCAGAAATGATAAACTAATAGGTATTTCCAGAATTGTTCTATAGTTATTTTAAATTTTTTGTCCACTGTTGGGGCGCCTGCATGGCTCAGTCAGTTAAGCATCTGCCTTCAGCTCAGGTCAAGATCCCGGGGTCTTGAGATCGAGCCCTGGGTCTGGCTCCCTGCTCAGCGGTGAGCCTGCTTCTCCCTCTCTTCCCCACTTGTGCTCTCTCTCCCTATCTCTGTCTCTCTCTCAACTAAATAAATAAAATCTTTAAATAAGTAAATAATAAATTCTTGTCCACTGTCCATAAACAAAGTCCCATGAGTTTGAAACCCAGTCACAAAGGAAAATGCCAATGTCAGTAGTACTAAGTGAAACAAAAGTTGTACAGAGGAAGTTTTATTTTTGTACCTCTAAGTGGAAATTATACAATGGATAGTAAAATTGCATATAAAATTGTCTTAATAAAAATAAACTAGATTCTGTAATTTTTAGTATCATAATTATTTTCTTCATAAAGCAAAGTAATATAATTTGTCCTAAATCTAATTTACTAATCTCTTAAAATTAATTCACAGAGGAATTTGCATGTGTCATGTTCTTCATTTATATACACTCACAAAAGTTCAGAAAGTTATGAATTTGTCAGTGATTCCTCTCTTCTTCTGCTCTTACCATTTCATGTAATAATTGCTCTTTCCTTTGAGAAACTCTTTATATATGTTACATTTGATTGGAACCAATGCCAAGGTCAGATCTTTCTTAAATCAATTCTTCATAGAGAATACTCTGGTCAAATAATTCTCTTCTTCATCAGACAAGGCACATCTTTCATTCAGACGAAACCTCTGTTTGAAATGCCTCATTCATCACTAAATGACTAAAAGCAGAACTAGGATAATCAAAAGTTCTTTATTTTATCTTCATAAATGTACAATTTCGTGTGAAGCCTGGGAAAAATATTTATTGAGATTGCAATCTAACAAAAAAGGAGATGGAAGCATTGATTGTATGGCCAGCTGATTTTAAAGTTCTTTTATCTTTCTGAAACATTTTTAATTTCAGAATATTTAAGTAGATTTAATTCTTTACATTAAAAAATTAAAATTTCTAATGTCTATCTTTTATTAAGAGCCATAAACCCACAAAGCTTAGCAATTTCCATTTCTATTTAAAAGTTAATGAAGTGGGAGAAAATGTACTTCACCGCTAAAGAATTTACGGCATAGTCAGGGAAACCCAAGGGATGAGAGCTGACATTGAAACTACAACCGAAAACAAATTTTTTTCAAAATAAGTCTGTCTGAATTGATGATTACAGTGCAGGGTTTTGGGGGGGGGAGCACAGGATGGGTTAAATAGGTGATGGGGATTAAGGAGTGCACTTGTAGTGATGAGCACTGGGTGTTGTATAGAAGTGTTGAAGCACTATATTCTACACCTGAAACTAATACTACACTGTATGTTAATTAACTGGAATTTAAATAAAAGCTTTTTTAAAAAGTCTGATAAATGATCCATATGCTTTATTCTCTCCTGCCTAGAAATTCTAAATTGGAAATTCTAAATGTGGTATCCCACAACAGAATTGTGAAAACAGAGAAAACAAGTAAATGAGATAATAGACTCAGTTTTGAAAACTTAAGCATATAAATACATTTTTTCTTTTGAATCCCTATGTTCTCAATCAAGTGAATTTTGAAAGTTCTTAAATTCTCAAGTTATGTTAAATTAGTTTTCAGGAGTGACTACTAGTGCTCCATAAATTTAGGTCGAATTGAGTTGAGTTGTATTGCATTGCCTTTTATGGGGGGAGGAAATTCCCTCTCCCTACTAAATAACGTGGAGAACAGTTGTAAATAGCCCTTAATCTGAATCAATCTTACACCATATAATAGTCACATAGACCAAAGTACTGGTTTGATTGTCTGGAGTCTGATTTTACCTCCTTCACAATTAAGATACATTGTCATTTTTGTTTACTATCTAAGAAAGTGTTATGTTGCTCTGCATTCATCTCTGAAAATCTAATTTCTGCTCAACTATCCATATGTGACATAAATTATGTTATAAAAGTCTAATATGTATATTAGAACCAGGTTCTTTAATTGGTATGTATACTGAGTTACAATGCAATTTCTTATATTACCAGAGTTTTAATTAATGTGATTCACAACAATAGTAATTATACTTGAAGGAAAGTGAAAGGTACTTAAAGGAGCTGTCTTTAAAGATACACAGTGCTCTCATAAGGAAAAATCTGCCTCATCTCCTTCTATAAAATTTGAGCCAGGAGCTTGTAGTGAACCAAAAGAAGAATGCTTTCCTCTGTGAGTAAGTAAACCTCAATAGTAAAGAATACAGTTAAACAGTAGACCACTAAAGTGAGATTCAGTTTCCTGTTCTCCTATATGCTATAATGATTGATATCAAGAGCCTACAGATATTCTATATTGGCTATAGTTTTTCTCTCTGTATTATTCTCAATATTTATATTGTTTGTATATTTTTTTCAGTCAAGAGAATCTATCCCATTAAATGACCTAAAGTCAGAAGTATCACCCCGGATTTCAGCAGAGGACCTGATCGACTTGTGTGAACTCACAGTGACAGGCCATTTCAAAACACCCACCAAGAAGACAAAGTCCAGTAAACCAAAGCTCCTGGTAGTTGACATCCGGAATAGTGAAGAGTATCCTTTACACATGTGGTTTTAAAGGATGGTAGTGCCTTATTCATACTGTTTCCTTTCCATTTTAAGGGTGTGTGGCAAAAACAATGAACATATCTGGGATTCCTCTGAATTCAAATAGCTAAATAACTCTCAAACTAAATGCCAGAATAGACTTGCATGATATAACATTGCATGACCTTAAAATGGTTTCCAGATAACACGAGAATATTGGGACATTTTCTTGTTTTTTTGTGTTTCTCTAGTGTATATTGCTATTCTTGAGGGTACTTGAATCCTTCTTGCTATAGATAAAATTTTGGCAAAGATGAAGACTATTTAACTGGTCTATTTTGTAGCCTAGAAAGAGAGGGTGACAGATCTCAACTTTGAACTTATATTTTTTACAATTTTCAAAATATTGTCTTCAGAGAATATATTAAAGTATTTTTTACTGACATTTTACTATTAAATATACCATAACTTCTTGGGATTTTGCTTGGCATTGAAGTATGAACAGTTACAAAATAGTAGCAGTTTAATCTTTCTACTTATATCTTCATCTGTCAGATTCTCATGAAGCATGCCTCGATTCTCTGTACTCTAGAATATAGGTAAATGATTTTCAAAATTTTTTTAACAGGGTAACTCCCTTTACAGTAAATTCTTTCTTAGAAATTCATTTAATAAAATATAAATGAAGAAATTTTAAGCGATTTTCTTCATAAGTTAATATTTATATCATTTACTAACTATAAATGAGAGTTCTATGAAAATGAGGGTTAATAGATTAGTGGTTTCTTATATGCTAATATTGGCATATGAGTTTTCATGTGCATATTTACAATCACAATTTTTGAAATGAAATCTTAAAATGAAATTTAAGCTGTACATTTACTGAACTCCTGAAGCAATCCATAGAATCTTAGATTATTAAGAATACAATTTGGGAGCCTACTATTTCAAATAATACATCCCTACTTTTTTGTGAAAACTTACTACTTTTTATTTTCCCTCACTTGTGAAAGACTACTGAGTTTGGAGAGAGCCTAAATGTTTATGTCCCTCGTTGTTAGGTCTTTAGGGATACTGGAAGTTCCTTAGCAGAGTAGATGAGTGGATTCCCAAAAGTAGCATTAAATTCCAGTTGACAGGTCCAGGAACTCCTGCTGTAAAAGTTCTT